CCCCAAAACCCCAAAACCCCAAAACCCCAAAACCCCAAAACCCCTATTATAAGAATATAATTTGATAATATTTAAAATAGTTAAATGGGTTGGTCATTTTGGGATCTATTTTGATGCGGACCTAGAGCTCACATAAAGCCAATGGAACAGTAATTACCAAATTTTCTTTGAGACTTCTTCCAGAGTCAATTCTGACTTGTATTAAAGACCTTTGACTTTACTTTGCTAGCCTTTCTAATTAAAAATTTCATTGACCGAACACCAAAATTTTTCATGGTTGTGCTAACTTTTTTTTAAGGCACAAAGATTCAGTGATGGAGTATGTAGACCTTCAGGTTGGTAGCTAAATAACTCATGCTTAAGCAGAGTAGTTTAGATATATTTGTTCTATGTTCTCAAGTTTCTGTCTACCATATCTAAGACCGAAAAGCAACTAAAGATCTCTCTTTATATAGTGGGTCAGAGATCGATACATTGGAAGCTGACAAGCATTTTGACGAGGGTCTTAATCTACCGATTGCCAAATCACAGATTGAATTCTCTACGAATTCTTTATACGGCAAAGAGCATAGAAGAAGGCAGCCGCCGAACGAAATGAGGGTAATCAAAGACATATTGGCTGTTCAATCCAAAACAGTGAGTAAGATCAAAAATTCTTACAAAATGGAGGATTTCGATAAAAATGTATACTACCTAATCTCCAGTGAATGGATGAAATCTTGGAGGAATGTAAGTCCTTCACCAACTCTATAGGTCAAAAACTCTGGAAGCTATCACCTGCCTGAAGCTTCCTTCTCTAACAAGCCTCTCTCCAAGAAGGATAAAATAAAGTAAGCCTCTCTCCAACTACCCACGTCTTCTCTAGGACTAATGGAATCTGACTGTAATTTAGGGTAAGCTAGGTGAAAAAAAACTTTACCGAAGGAATACAGAAATTTGAAGATTTTGAAAATGAGAAGAGGAATTTTAGAGATTGGGATTTTTGACAGAAAATTGAATTTTTTAGATTTTTTAGGGAAGGTGATTTACGAGGGAGAAGTTATAATTTTATTGGTTTGATTAACTTTTTGTTAGGTTTTTGCTTGAAAGTTTATTTCCGAATTTTTTAGGAGCTTAAAATTTTAAATTTTGTTGAAAGTTCTCTTCTTCTGTGTTTTAAAGATTAATCCATTTTTCTTAGCATCAGATAGACTACTACATAGTTCCAGCAGGTAGCTTATGGGAAAAATTCTGGAAATACTTTAGCTGTGATGTAGTTTGCAAATTCGTTCAGTCCCAAAACATTGATGAGCACCCATATACTATTTCCAGAGCTAGTTCCCAAGTTGGAATGTCTAGAGGTAGTGACCACGAGGTCGAGAACATCCTCAAGGGGAAGGATTATAAAGTTATGCACAAGGTCTATGACTCCTATGATACTACGAGTGAGCCCAAACTTATCTGGCTTGATGATCATTAAAAATAGAGTTATAAGAAGCAATATGAAAGACTCCAGCCTATATAATTTCAGCAGAAAGACTATTCAATATTATGCCCACAAAGCGGGGTTTTGGGGTTTTGGGGTTTTGGGG